TTTTGCGTAAACATACACGGCACTTTCGAGTCAAGTGGCGTGTTATCTCTACGCATTTTGAGCTATCCGCGTGTATCCGCGTGTATGCGTGTATGTCTACGCCATTAACGTCAGAGTGATTCCGCGTGTCTGTACACGCCGTCAAATGTCCGAACGAAATGAAGCAAAATGTAGATCTACATCTGGGGAGCTATGTTTTTTTTCCCTAGGATGGTAAGGGAACAGTCATAAATGCCATTAACCCCAGTGACGGGTAGGTTTAGGGACGGGGTTGAGGTAAGTCATATTTTTATATATACAGTGATAACGTTAACTCAGCAGCGTTCATAAACACGCTGAAAAGCCATTATGCGTCTTGATAGCACGCCAAAAATGGAAATACGAATTGGCGTGTCAAACACATGCTACTTCATGAGATCAGTCTGTTGTCTTTGTTTCGTTGTTTACGTGAATTTGGGTTGTTTAATTATATTGTTTTGTTTAAAATAGTTACTTTACTTCCTAAACTCTGCATCGTCTTCTTCATGGACCAAATCGTGACATAATTAGATTGGCAATGACATTTTCAACATCAAACCTTCTAATGATGCGTTGCATATCAGTCACCATGGCCTCTCCTTGAACTGCCACCTTACCGTGGTGGAGGTGTTTGAGTACCCGAATGACCCCAGGAACGGTGTTGTCAGGGGCTATGCCCCTGGTAGGTTCTCCCAAGGCAAACAGGTCCTAGGCGACGGGTCAGACTTAGAGCTGCTCAAAAAACCCTTTGAGTAAAATTAAATCAAGGACCATGATGTCGCCCGGTATGGCGCAGCCGGGGCCCCACCCTGGAGTCAGGCCGAGGGTTGGGGGAACTAGCTGACATGGAAACTAGCTTTAGGGATGTGGAACGTCACCTCGCTGGCGAGGAAGGAGCCTGAGATTGTGCGTGAGGTTGAGAGGTTCCGACTAGAGATAGTCGGGATCACCTCTACGCATGGCTTGGGCTCTGGAACCACACTCCTTGAGAGAGGATGGACTCTTCACCACTCTGGAGTTGCCCATGGTGAGAGGCGGCGGACTGGTGTGGGTTTGCTTATAGCCCCCCAGCTCAGCCGCCATGTGTTGGAGTTTACCCCGGTGAACGAGGGGGTCGGTTTCCTGTGCCTACGGGTCTGGGATAGGCTGTCATGTGCGCGTATGGGCCAAACAGCTGTGAAGAGTACCTTCTTGGGGTCTCTGGAAGGGGTGCTTGAAAGTGCTCCGACTGGGGACTCCCAGTCATTCTACTGGGGGACTTCAACGCACACGGGGGCGCCACGACAGGAGGAACGCCCCCCCTGACCTGAACCTAAGTGGGGTTCAGTTATTGGACTTCTGCGCTAGTAACAACTTGTCCATAATGAACACCATGTTCAAGTATAAGGGTGTCCATCAGTGCACAGGGCACCAGGACACCATAGGCCAACAATCGGTCAACGATCGACTTTGTGGTCATTTCATCTGACTTGTGGCCGTATGTCTTGGACACTCGGTTGAAGAGAGGGGCGGAGCTGTCAACGGATCACCACCTGGTGGTGAGTTGGATCCGATGGCGGGAGAGGATGCTGGACAGAGGATGCTGAACGTTTGGCCGAGTCGGCCGAGTTCAAGTTTTGTTCACGAGTGGAACGGGAGATTGATAGACGGATCGGTGCAGCTTCTGCAGTAACGCGGTCTGTCGTGGTGAAGAAGGAGCTAAGCTGCAAGGCAAAGCTCTCGATTTTCTGGTCAATCTACGTTCCTACTCTCACCTATAGTCATGAGCTTTGGGTCATGACCGAAAGGACAAGATCCCGGATACAGGCTGCTGAAATGAGCTTCCTTCGCAGGGTGGCTGGGTGCTCCCTTAAAGATGGGGTAAGGAGCTCGGTCAATCAGGAGGAGCTCAGAGTAGAGCCGCTGCTCCTCCACATCGAGAGGGGTCAGCTGAGGTGGCTCAGCATCTGTTCCGGATGCGTCCTCAGGGAAGACCTGGGACATGCTGGAGGGATTATGTCTCCCAGCTGGCCTGGGAACGCCTCGGTATCCCCCTGGAAGAGCTGGAGGAAGTGTCTAGGGAGAAGGGAGTTTGCGCGACCCTGCCCCGGATAAGCAGAAAAAGATGGTGGATGGTGATGGTGGTGGACCAATATTTTGGTTATCAGTATCGGCCAAAATGTTAATATCGGTGCTTCTTTAGATAAAACTGATATCTTTGTAAAAGGAAGAGTGTAATTTTACATTTCTACCCCACTTTTTCCTTAGTGTTTCAATTAATTTGCGTCCACGAAAACCTCCAAATAAGTATTGCAAATTGAATCAATAGCAGGAGGTAAAACTCTCCCCATTCCTAATGATTGAGAATGTCTTGTTTAATTTCTGTTGGGTTCCTGATTAGCAACAGTTTCATGGGTCCCAAGAGTCCCTTTAGAAAGAGGTTTGTGAGTCACTCCATCAAACTCAGTAATTGGGCTCATCTGAGGGCTCACATCAGGCTCATGTTCTGTGTGAATTTCAGCAGGTACATTGGGCCGTTTCAGCTTGATCAGCTTGTACTGTGCTCAGTGGGATCACAGTTTCAGAGCATAGCAATGATCTTTAATTGTAGGGACACTATTTCTTTAAATTAGAGAAAAGTTTTAGCTGATGCAATATGACACTCGTGGGTGTGGCCACACATCAAACCAGTCAAAGAATGGACATTGAAATTTAATTTAAGTGTCGACAAATATTAGACAAATATAATTGTGGTGCTCCACATGTTGTTTGTTATTACAGTTGAATAAAATGCAAAGAATGAAATGTTTACAAATGTGTTTAAGTATTGCTGGCCCACTTTCTCTGAATGTATAAGATAAAGTGGACCAGTGGGATGACATGTACAGTATAATTTACTTTTTTAGAAACAGAAAAGCGTGTCCATCAGAAAATTTAGGTCAGAAATGGAAGAAAGGAAGACTGTAAAAGAAGAGTATAAAAAGAAAAAAATGTGGACACAATTAAAGTTTATTTAAAGTGTTTAGAGAAAATATATAGATAAGAAATACGTTCATATGTATATGCAATACCTGAAAAGATATTTGCCTGGAGAGCATGATCTCAAAATGTTTATTGGTATACACATCATAACGGAATTCACTTATAGACCTTAAAGGTTTCGTTCACCAAAAAAAGGAAAAAAAAAAGAAAAAAAAAGAAAGAAATTAATTACTAATAGCCTAGATTTATCATATAAAGCGATCGTGTCTCTTCAGAAAATTAGACAGAAAGCTCTTAGATTTCTTTGAAACAATCTTCATATGTGTTTCTAAGATGATCCAAAGTCTTACTGGTTTGGAAGGGTGAGTAAATGAAATCTTTGAAAATCATGTCTTCAAAGCCTTAAAACATCTTGCATGTAGGCTACCTGGACACCCTTGACTCATTTAGTAGCCTATGCAAGATTCTATGAATATGCAAATGAGCCCCGCCTCCACTCACTCAGTTCAGAGATCAACTGGTTGACGATCACACGTTGGTCTGATTGGTTACAAGCTTGTTTGTGACGTCAGAAACACCAGCGATTTCGTGTTTTTGAGACTGTCTTTGGTTCACTGCAGTTTTAAGGAGGAACTCAGCAATGCCGTCGACTTATGAACTTACACTGTGTTACAGCATATTAAAAACACCACAAAGACATAAACAACATTAAAAGCTGGATTTTCATCACAGACTTTAAAGGGGTGATGAACTGAGAAATCAAATTTTCCTTGAGCTTTTGACGTCTAAGAGGTCATCATATTATAAGAATATCCTGTAAGTTTCAGAACTGAAAACGTCCTTGTTAGTCCAATAAAAGCTTTTATTGACACAGCCTCTAAAAACGACTCGTTTTTAAAAGTGGGGAACTATGACGACAAAGAGGATAAAACACCACCCCCACAGAAGATGATCAACGCCTACTTCACCACGGCAGGTTTAGCCCCGCCCACCGATTCGCGCATTACACACATAAGTATCATACATGTGCATGCTTACCTCGTGATGACAAACTGGATCGCTACTGAGCAATACAGAATATTGTGCAGTGCCTGGTTGTGCAAGACAGTCGCTGCATAAGCTTCATGTGGATTCCAATAGGACTGCATGGATAAAATTTATTTTTAATGACGTTCCAGCTGATCTGATGAGGGTAAAACATCGTCGTCTGTTCGCTTCATTTCACTGAGGATTGTTTTGTCAACAAGACTGGATTTGCAGACCGATTAAGAGTAAAGAAAGGTGCTGTGTCGTCTATATGACAGGAATATTGTGCAACACGGACTCTGGGTTGAACATGTATGGGCGAATCCGGTTGCCATTTGACAACATAGGACGTTTTCCCCCACGTACACCGACGGGTGAGTTAAACTCATTATAATATGCAAAACTGTTCTCCACTCGCAGCAGTGGGTGTTTACTTCCAAGTCTTCAGTGCGACACGCCCATAAAAACCGACTGTTTTTTAGGTAGGCTCACAACCAGTGTACAAAATAGCCTATTACTCGTTCATTTTGATGTTTTTGAATGCAAAAACCAAGCGAACGTTATAAGTTGACCTCAGACAACAATATAATAACATTTAAAAAGCCAGTTCATGACCCCCAGAGGGCTACAATATAAAATGTACAGTTTATCGTGCAATTTATATGATAAATTAAGTTTTACGTGCATATGACACGTACTTTACTGCGTGTACCCTTACACCACAAATACTACCCAAAAACTAATTTTCGCGTAGCCTATAAATGGCACGATAAACACAATGCGTGCGAGAAAGGGTTGGTTTTCATGTGTTCTTTACCAACTGAGGAACGCGTCTTAATTCTCCGTCTTTTGTTATTCTTGATGAATATCCGAGCCTGGTAAACTAACCCGAGTCGGATGGAGGAATTCTCCAGGGTGCTGAAAGTACAGCATCACTTCATCCACACTAGTGAGGGAGTGAGAGAGACATCAGCCACACCCGCTTCTGCTTATTGGGCATCTTTCCGAGGAACGTCACATGCAAAACAGCCACACGTTTATGCCGTTGAATTATAGATTAAAGGGAGGCTGAACATGCAGATTGGGACACACTCACACACTCATGCACCGATGACTGAGGAGAGAGATGCGTCCTGACGAGCCTTGCTGAAGCGATCTCCGTTTGACAGCGTTCACTCACACACAGCACGGAGAAGAGAAACACACACGATGCGTTTATTCTTCAGAGATGTGGTTCTCCTCCTGCTCAATGCTCTGGTGCTGATATCTGCAGCTGGAGAGGAGCTCATCTTCACCAATCATGCTCTGGTCCAGTTGCACGAGGGCACGGATGAAGATGCGCACACTCTTGCCCTGGAGAACGGCTTCGGGAGCGCGAGGAAGGTACGCGCACCAGAACGCCTGCAAACCTGTCATGTTGATGCATGCATGCTCAAATAAGGCTCAAAGTCAGGGTTTTATCATATAGAAGCATATGTGCACCACTCGTGCAAATATGAGTACACCGTGTTCTTGTTTACATCACAAACAAATCAACTGAATTAAGATCTACATTCATTCTGCAGAATATAAACTCAGATGAGAGGTAGTACATCAATTTACAAAGTCATAGTTTATTGTTTTTTAATGGTCATATAGTCGGAATTGTTTTTCCTGATATACTGGAACTGCCACGGGATAAAAGAAGAACACTTAAAATAATATAACTTGAAAACAGGAATTTCAATTAATCCAGGATGGGATTTAATTCTTTGATCTTATTATAGAGATTTAATTATGCAGCTGATTATGAAAACAAACTGAATCACATAATTTCTTATTTGCTGTACACATAAAAACAAAACATCCCCTGGAATTGAATGAAATAGCACGGCTTGTCATGTTGATTATGCTAATGTTAGTCTTTTTGGTTGTGTAATGTCAACAGGAGCGGTAAGAAAATGACTGAGAATTACTCTAGTGTAAATAGTAAACATATCTTTCATCTGACATCGCAATGTTTATTTATTCCATCTCCATAAAGAGCCATTTATCACACAACAGAGACTTGATAGCTTGACAAATCAGCCTTGTCAAATGTCAAAACATCACTGGTGTGGAACAGAGCTTCACGTGTGGCCATGCATTGGAGAGAGAGAGAGAGAGAGAGAGAGAGAGAGAGAGAGAGAGAGAGAGGGGTTTTATTCTTCTAATTCATGCACTCTTTGTCTGAACCAATTTACGATCCCTTTGAATTTGCGATTCACTGCTTCTTTGCTCCTGATAAACAGTGTTACAATAATACAATAAAAAATACAATACAGATGCCAAAATATATTAGATTTGACGTTTTCAGAGTCATAGGATCTGATTTGTAGCAGATTCATGTTCTTAATATTACAAGCAATGAAAATGCTTTATTATCATGAAAAATAATATTCTCAATGTTAACTTATTAGCATTACAGTGAATATTAGTTGGTGTCACTCAGACCAGGTTTTAGATCAATGCAAGCCAATGAAGTTCTTGGCTAATGTTCAAAAAGTGTTAGTTTATAATATCCAGTAATACAGATCATATGATTATTTCCGCAGGGAGTATTAGTGCCATAAACATCTTACTGTCATTTTTGGTTATCTACACTGCAAATAAATGCTTTTCTTTCTTATTCTTATGTTGTTTTCGGTACAAATATCTAACAAGTCTTAGATCAAGAAGCATAAGTAAATGGCATAAGAATTGAAATCTTGTTTTCTGAAAGAAAAGTGAGTTTTTGTTTAAAACAAGCACATTTACTGCCAATGGAGTGAGAAAAAGTATTTTGATTCAAATGAAAATCAAGCAAAAGTTCACTCACTTAATTTAGATTTTTTTCCCCCCAGAAAACTTGGTTTTCTTGGTTAAGCTTCTTGGTTAAGAATTGTTAGATATTTGCACCAAAAACAAGACAAAAATAAATATAAATAAATAAATAATGATTATTTTAAAATAAAATAACAAAAAAGCATTTTTTTGCAGTGTATATAACCAAAAATGAAAGTAAGATGTTTATGGCACTAAAGCTCCCCGCAGAAATGATCATATGATCTGTATTACTGGATATTATAAACTTGATTTAATAAATGCATCTATATTTAATAAATGTTATATGGAAACCAGACAAAAATAAGAAAGAAAAAAAGCATTTTTGCAGTGTAATATTTGCATGCACATACAATCTCAGCATCTTTTTTATGCCCAATTTTTACACATTTTCATGCTGATGAGTGTCAGTTTATGAATTCACATTAGTAGGATAAAACATTTAACGTTTAACCATGCAGACACTTTGGCCTTTGAAATCATTACATTAAATCTTCTGGGTTTGGTATATTCCACACTTCTCAGAGGTCAAACTCTTCTAACAGACGTGTGTGTGTGTGTGTGTGTGTGTATTCCAGCTTCCCTTTGGCGAGGGGTTATTTCACTTCTACCCACGGGAAATGCCCAAAACTCGCAGGAAACGCAGCGTTGACCACCTCCACCGCCTGGCGAACGATCATCGGGTAAGACCAGCATCTCACAGTGTGTGTGTGTGTGTGTGTGTGTGTGTGTTCCCATAGAGACGAACCCAGCCACTGGGAAACAACAGCTAATCTGTTGCCAGATTGCTTGTATGAGTTAAAGACTAATGTCAATCGAGTTTTTGGCTTGAAGTTTGAATGCTATGTTATTAGCTATTATGACATTATGCGGTTTGAGTGATGCTTTGTTCTGATTCTGGATGCTGATTGGTTAATGCAGTGCTAAAATGCACAATATAGTCACAGCTCTGATGTGAAACACACTAACATTACATGGTTTACATGGCTGTCATCCATTATGGCTAATGGCAAGTTTGTGTCAAGGTCATGCTGTACTCGTTCATGACAATATCATATACAGTGTAAAAATGAATATGCTTTATCTAATCAATAGAATTGTGGCAACAGATTGCAAGCAATATTATTAATTAAATTTAACAAATTAGAATAGAGTAATAATTAATCAAATTATTCCTTAAAAGTTAACCATTTAAATTGAGTAAAGTTTACACCAAAAATTTTTTTTACAAAAATATCTCACGTCTAAGATTAATTAAGAACTCTTTATTTTATATTGCCAATACTGAAGACACCTGATTTTAACAAGCAGAATCACTGAAGGAGAAAACCGGCATTTTAAAACTAACACCGATCACCATAATGGTGACTTAAATGTATGTTTTTTTGGTTGTTGTTGTAAGTTTTACTCATTTTAAATGGTTAACTTTTAAGGAATTAATTTGAGTAATTGTTACTCAATACTATTTTGTTAAATTTAATTAATAATATTGCTTGTAATCTGTTGCCACAATTTTTTTGATTAGATAAAGCATATTCATTTTTACGGTGTATCGCATGTAGCACAATCTCTCAATGTTTTAATGTTCGCATAAGATGAACTGCTCTTTCTAAAGTTGAGCAAGTTGATTGATTAACTGGCCGCTCAGACAGGAGACATGTGTGTTTTGATGCGACAGTAAATACCAGTTATTTCACAGTCTTAAAACTTTCTGTTTGGAGCTGAGACAGCTTTTTCATAAAATAAAACTAATCATAAATGAACCATAGATGGGGTTTTTTTGAGACAGAAAATGTGAAGATTTCAATCTGTAAGATCATCCTCCGTAATGCTGTGACAGCAGTGATCGGCACTCGCGTGACAGGATCTGTTCAGTTTCTGCACTTTAATAACTGAACAGCTATTAATGTTCAATTGTGGGTTTGAGGAGTTGAATTATTTATTAGTCTGTTCATCAGCATTGCTCCGGCTAAAGTGTGTTAACTCATTCACCATCAGCATATTGAGCTTCAGTCATTGGTTGCAAAGATCCTTAAAGCATGAAGATGCGTTATATAAAGTCATTGCTGGTGAAAGCTTCTCTAGACATCACGCAAACCATTTCAACCCGATTTACGTAAACTTAGTCATTTTTTCCGGCTTAATCTGGTGTATTTCATGTCTTCCACTCTTCACCATCCAAACATTTCCAGATTAATAAAACCAAGCATTTTTCCCTCATTGATCATGTTCCCGAAATACATCACATTATGGAAGTGAAATGTATTAAAGGGGTGATATAATGTCTTTCTCACAAGATGTGTCCCCAGAGTGTGTGTGTGTGTGTGTGTGAAGTTTTAGCTCATAATACCCCACAGATATTTTTTAAATCATTTTAAAATCGTCACCAAAAATGCGCATGTCCCTTTAAATGCAAATGAGCTGCTGCTCCCGGCACAGAGGGCGGAGCTTCAAGAGTTTGTGATTGTGTGTGTTTGCAGCTCCGATTACCTCTCACACACTGAACATTTCAAAAACTTTGAGCTTTTTATGCTCAAACCAGAGTCGCACAATGATGGCGAGACTCAAGAAGTGACAACATGTAGAAGCAACAGCACATTTCTGAAGGGTTAGTTGATGAATTTATGTGTCCGATGTGGAGTTAACGATATTCTAATCATTGATTAGCATCTTCTGTCATGATAATCTACAAATCCTGTTCCGGGAGCGGGGTTTATGTAAATTTTAGGGTTAGTGATGATGTCACTAACCCAGGAGGACGCTTGTGTAGTTCCTTCCAGCCGTTTGTTGTAGTCCTTAAAAAGCAATTTCAGTAAAAGAAAATATCAAAATATCTCTCTTTGCTTTGAAATTTGAGCGTTGTAACTTGTAACTTTACAGATGTTGCTTTACACATTAACTAAAGTTAGAAAAGTGAAATCATAATCACTTTTGATTTCGGTTGCGTCCAAAATCGAACGAGTAGGTACTTTTAAATAATGTGTGTAATGTAATATGGGCGTACTACACTACATCCACCATGATGTCAATATCATGTGACCTTCCAGCGTCACTGTCATTCATAAACCCTCTCCCGTGGCCTCATGGGATAGCAAAGCGTCCATCGTCCCAAAGTGGGACTTTTCCCTTCTCTTTTATGAGCACTGTGAATTAAGACACACTTCTTTTGTACTATATAGTGAGAAGTATGTGATTTCAGATGCAGCCAGTGTTTTATGTTTAATTCAATTCACTTTAAAAAAAAAGCTGACCGATCAATAATGCCTCTATTTTTCTATGTCTGTTTCCATCTATCACACGGAGATATCGCTGAAAACTTCCCCACGTACAGTTTTGATTCAATTAGAGTCTGTTCCACTGACCAGGGTAATCAATTCAGAAATGACAGTCCCATCATATTTCATCCATTCATCATCTTGATAAATGACACACGTCTCATTAACAGACTGATGTGCATTAGCTCAGCCGGGCTTTACCGATGGACACAAGCTACAAACGGGTCATCCGGTCAAGGACAGCGGGGGGAAACAATGCAAATGCTAATAATAAAAATAAATATAAAAGCATGCAATTACAAAAAGAAAGAAGCTTTTGCAAAGGAGAAGCCACATCTTTTGTTGTTGGCATCAATCAAACTCTGCTGTATTTTGGTGAAAATGATCCGCCACTTGATTGAATTTAGCACAAATGCATTGTAAAATCAATGGTAACTTGCAATTTTTATCTAAATTAGCTATTACATGCAATGCATAAAACATTGTTGTTGGTAAATCAATGTATTTAGGTGTATTCACTAATATTAAATAATATTTTTTACTTTCTCTATGTACAGCCATGAACAAAACTACACAAAGTAAAGGAAAATATGACCCATACTACATTAAAAGCAGGTTTATTGCAATGGGAATACACATTGTGTTGCTTTGAGGACGCGAAACGCATGAAAGAGACGTTTAGAAACCCAAACGTACAGCTTTGTTGCATTGATTGGGCCTATGCAGTTTGTTGTGAAATAATGAAATATCAATGTTTGATTTTAAGGACATGACTAATGTCCAGGAAGTAAATCTGAGGAGCGAAAGCATCCCGGTTTGTGCTGGATTTAGGAGAAGCGATGCAGGAGAATGAAGGAGAGGTTTCTCCATCGACATCATTTCCAGCTCAAGTGTTGTGTGTATTCTCAGAGCGCTGTGTATTGATCTGTGTCCTGTTTTTGTGCTCCGCTCATTCACACACTCCTCTCATATTTGCTTTGTGCTTCATTTGGACTGTAACAGTCACATATTTACAAAGCAAGTTACGTTCAAATAAACGATTGCATAGACGAGCTACACTCTTAAAAATAAGGCATTTGTAGTTCTTATGTAGTGCCTATGGAACTTTTCAGTGCGCAAAAAGTAGAAAAAAGAAAAACATGAAATGATTTTTCTATGGGATCGCTGCGAAAACCCCCGTTTGGAAGCTTTGATTTTTTTTAAACTTTTTTAATTGAAAATAAGGAACAAGGGGTCATCATAAGCATTGCCCAGACAATACAATTTCCATACATTCTTTGAATTACAATAACACACTTATCCGTATCCACACATTTATCCCAACACTTAAAGGAGTAGTTCACTTTTAAAGAAACTTTTGCTGATAATTTCCTCACCCCCATGTCATCCAAGATGTCCATGTCATTCTTTCTTCAGTCGAAAAGAAATGAAGGTTTTTGATGAAAACATTCCAGCATTTTTCTGCATATAATGGACTTCAATGGGAACCAAACGGTTCAAGGTCCAAAAGACAGTTTCAGTGCAAACTGTTCAAAGGGCTTTAAACGATTCCAGACGATGAATAAGGGTCTTATCTAGCGAAACGATCGCTCATTTAAAAAATAAATACAAAATTTTACGTTTTATAAGCACAAATGCTTGCCTTGCTGAATGAACGAACTGACTCGGGAAAAGATTTTGAACGAGATTATGAACGAGTTCGAACAGGAGAGTCACGAACGCGCATCACAGAACAGAGCAAGGCGACCATTTGAGCTTATAACTTATAACTTGAGCTTATTTTTTTTTAAATCAGCGATCGTTTCGCGTGATAAGACCCTTATTCATCGTCTGGAATCATTTAAAGCCCTTTGAAGCTGCATTGAAACTCATTTGGATCTTGAACCGTTTGGTTCCCATTGAAGTCCATTATATGGAGAAAATCCTGGAATGTTTTCATCAAAAACCTTCATTTCTTTTCGACTGAAGAAAGAAAGACATGGACATCTTGGATGACATGGGGGTGAATAAATTATCAGCAACATTTTTTTTTTTTAAAGTGAACTACTCCTTTAATATATTTTTCTGTGGCCAGTATTTGTTATTTATTAGTATTTTAAGTACGTATTTGTACTGTGGCTTTTCGTATCGCTCTGGGTTTTGGGTTTTAACTCAACTATGCTTGTGGAGCAATTATTACACACTTCACCTTTAAAGACAAATTTAAATTAGCATGTGCTCTGAACTTTAGGGACGAAATTAAGAAGGAGATTTACGCAAAGACCCACTTGCATTCGCTACTTCAGAAACACTTGTATTTTCTTTAATGCAAATCTGCACTGCTTGTGCTCTCTCCTGGATCAATCATTTCAACCAGTGTTTTTCTAATTTCAAAATCACTTTGGATAAAGCAGTCTTCCAAATGAATA